AAGGAGACAGGAGAGGAAACACGGGAGACATAAAAGGAGACCGGAGAGGAGTCTTACTGAGGTAGGGCTCGATCCGTTAAACCGACCAACAGTTTGTTAATCAGTTTATCAGAGGAGCTTCCAGCTGATTACAGATGTTCAGTCGGCTGATCTCAGGTCAGCCTGGTGTTAGCCTGTTAGCTCTCGGGTCTCCTGTTACCATGTTAGCATGGTTTGATTCCTCACAGTGCTTTAACCTCGCGAGCTCACCTGTACGCTGTTTCGGGCTAACCTGCAGCGTCACTCAGGTGCTGTTACTGGATGGGATGCTCGTTAGCCTGTTAGCATGTAGCTCACCTGGATGAGATTATCGTCGAAGCTTCCCCATGGTTCCGTGTTCCTGCTCCCGGAGCCCGAAGACATTTTCCCCACAACAGCAGCAGCTCTCCGTGGGGTGGAGTCTGTGTCCGTGGTTCGGTCGGTGGATCCGCGGATGGATCTTTTTCTTTTCCTGCTTCTAAAATCTGATGTTTTGGTCCGTAGAACGCCCCGCCCACCGGCTGACGCCACATCCCCAGTCGACGTGGAGGTCGAAGATATCGCGATATTTCCGTGAGAGTTTTTTCATTCATTTGATCATATCTGATTCATGTCCTGAGATTCCACTCATGACAAATCGATGTTTTACAGACGCTCACCACTCCATTTCTTCTCTGACATGCAGATGATGTTTGTCGAGAACAAAGGGTTCCAGTTTGAAGCAAAACTGTAAAATCAGCAACATTTTAAATCTCAGTCAGGGAGAGATTGAACTCTTTCTCGTGTGACATTAAATCTGCTCTGAGTGGTCTGATGTTATTTTCTGATGGTTCACAGTCACGCATCACTTCTGAGAGCTGATTAATGCCAAGTTGTCTTTAGTCCTGGTCCAGTGAGCTCCAACAGCACGCTTATTTATGTGTCTTTTTAAAGATTTGGAAACATATCTTGATGCTCAATCATCCAGGTAAGCAATTCCCAAAAAGTTGATTCTGTTCATCTCAGTTGATACTCCTGACACATACGGGATCACTACAGGTTTTCTTTATGTGATGTCCTCTGCTTCCCTGGCTGCTGTGTCTGTGGGGATGGTGTTCGCTCCTGTTCACGTCCTGATCACACTCAGCTTATGCTCCAGTGGATGATCAATTCAATTCAATTTTATTTATATAGCGCCAAATCACAACATAAGTCGCCTCAAGGCGATGAGAGTCAAACCTTGAATACTGATCTGTATGCGTAGGTTTCCGGTACACATTAGTGTCCGGTTTACTGGGTGGGATCAAAAACACTTACTGGGTTTGAGGCTCTGTGTTGGTTTGGGTCTCCTGAGCGAGCAGAGACTTGTCAGACGTTTTTTTTAACTTAAACCTGCAAGTGCTTCATGACTTTGAGCATGTTTGTCTTCTCTGTCTCAAAATGAACCCAACAGGTCTAAAGTCAAATATAGAAGGTCAAACATGTTGAATGTTAATTGTAGAACAGGATAATAGTTTTAATATGTGTAACCGGTGTGATTCTGCGTTGTGTCTGATACAAAAGGTAAAAGAAAGAAAGACCTCCAAGTAAATAATTTGCCCACTCCAGCTCCTCCAACCAAATACAAACAGTGGGGAAGAGGGTTAGCTCAACCCACCACAACTTCCAAGCTAGCAAGGAGTATATATTCATGCTAGTATTTATGGCGCCTAAAACACATTTATGATACACACATACTACACACTTATAACATCTAACAAAAACAGGCTTAATAATGACAATAATTGAACTAAAATCGCAATCAGAAACATCCAGGTGGCTAAATATGCATTAGAATCAGAATCAGAATACTTTATTCATCCCGAGGGAAATTAGGGTTACAGCAGGCAGCACGCTAATGGCGCATGCGCACTTACAAAGGAACCTTCTGACCAACTTTACACAAACATCACATTGGGCAGACATGTCAGAGAGGTCAGCTGATAGGAAAAAAACAACGAAAATACACTACATGAGGTAAGAGGAGGAGAAAAAAAACTCCACTCACACTGAGCTCCTAGTGGGAGAACAGTTTGATAACAGAAAAAACACCTCAGCACAAAAAGCACATGACTATCAACACACCATAGAAACACAAGACAAGCAACAGGGGCGGGTAAAGGGTAAGAGAGAGCCGGTGTAGGCAGCGCATCCGGTCCTGCAGCATCTGCGCTGGTCCAGTTGACTGCTATCTTCCCTGGTAGGGCACAAGCATCGAAGGCATTGGAAAGGGAGGGGGGATGAGTGAGTGCTTATCAGTGTAAGTGTGTGTGTGTGCGTGTCCATAGTTTAGCTGAGACAGTGTCCTTCGGCCTATCAGGCTAAGTAAACAGTCCTCCAGCCAATCCAGGTGTCCTTGCATGGGATGGGAAGAATAGCCGTAACACAGTCGTTATCAGGGAGTGATTGTTCGGCTCCAGCCTTGGGCCTGCAGCTGGCGCCGTGATGGGGATCCGCAATGTTTATGTTGGTTTTGTTAATTTCCATGCGAGCAGCCCAGGAGAATTTTCAGGCTGCTCTTTAACACTCTGACACTGGTCTCTCGATCTCCCGTTGGAGAGCCGCGAGCCTCCCCATGATGGTATCAAACTTCTGTTCCATGGTGTTATTGTTCTTTTGATTCTGAGACCTCACAGCTGCAGTGATCCGTTCCGTGATGTTTTCCAACTGTCGCTCAAGGGTCTCATTTTGAGCAGGCCTCTCTCTGATGTTTCCCCTCATATGCTCAATGGTGTTGTTTTGAGCCTTCACAGCAGCTGCAAGCGTCTCCAAGGTGTTGACCATATTACGTTCGTTGTGAGAGGTTGCGCCTCGTTCCATTTCGATTCCAGCGGGCAGCCTTGGGGGGGTTTGAACAGCCGGTTCCGCTCTCTTATTTCTCCGATAAACCAGGGCTAAGCCAACTCCGATCAGCATGAACCCTGTTATCATGGTTCCGAATAGATAGATATCTTCAGCGTTATATGTGTGTTTTACAGTGTTGGGAAAGAAATGACACCCACCTCTCCCACAGGGGAATTGTAGGAAAGGGGAGAGGCAAAAGGGGTACATTGTATTTATAGGATTGCACCAAAGAAGAAGAAGAAAAGAATGAGGAGGGGCTCTAACTGATAATGAACATAACTACAGGCTTGGAGGTCCTAAAAGTCAGGTATAAACGGAGCAGTTTGGGGGTTTAGAACACATTTTGTGTAATTATAACAATATCTGATTTATGACCCTGTTACATATGCTCAAATGTTATATCAGTGGTGTACAGGCAGCAGAAAGAATCAAGTCTGTGACTGAAGTAGCTAAGTGCGGGGATAAGTCTGCTGAACGCTGCCTAAAACACAACAGAACACCAAGAAGTGTTGGCCCAAGGATCGGCCCCGGTAACAGGTACTTATTTAGACATTGGCCTTGAAATGTGAAAGAGAAATCAAAGACTATGCGATCTTTATTGTTGTGACTTATCACGTGATGAGAAATGTACCAGGCGTCTTTGCCATCGTCAATCCCCTCAGAGCTGAGTTTAGCCACATAACTAGCTTGCTCTAACTTTAAGATCTGATCTCTGTATGAACGGCTTTGTCAGGATCTGTGGCTAATCGAGATTCAGTATTGCAAAGTCGTGACATGACTGCAGATGGAGGGACATACAAAAGACCTGCGCTTCAAGGCATTTTCTCAAAGTGGACCTTTTCCGATGTTAGTTCAGTACCTTTGGACTATAATGTCAGAGGGCTACAGTTACCGGCTGTGTCCTAGTCTCACCAGCAGGGGGCAGCCTCACGCTGCACGATAGTTTGCCATTTCTCGCGACACTTCTCCGCCCTCTGTGGTTCTTGTTCCTTGACGCGGTGGTGACATTGGCTTCATTTTCCGGACCGTTGTTCTGGCTGTCGTGTTGCCGAACCGAGCGGATCATTAATGATATCGAAAGGGAGAGTCCACGGTAAAAGTTCCAGGTGAGTGCAGCGACACGCGGAGCGGCTCCCCGAGGAGCTGTTAGCCGTTAGCTCCTCGGTGATCCTTTAAAACACGCAGTTAGAGTCTCAGCCCGAGAGAAGCTGGTTGATTGTGTGACTCTGATTAAACTGTGTTGTTGCCGCGGTTCAGTATAATTTCTGTCGAAGGTTAAAGGCGCCACAGACGCTAGCCGCGTTAGCCGGAACACTGTAACCTCGTTCCGAAATGTTAAAAATAAACTCTTAGGGGTCAGAGGTCATCCTTTTTTAATTTATGTGTTAAAATGCTGCTCCGTTCGCTTGTTTTACTTTGTATGAAATTCGTTTTTACATAATATGTATTTCTGGGATCCACTCTGTAATTCGGCTTAACCCAAACACGCTGATGCTTACCAGTTGTTACAAAACGTCGTCCTAAAGTCACCCTGGAAGTACTTAATTTAACCAAAGAAGGTGCAACAGAGGGAAGAGTGTGTGCGGCAGTTGTGTCAGCTGTGCAGATTATTGCGCGGCACACAATATTCTGCGGACTGGCTGCGCTGTGTCACGCTGCCGGTGGTTAATATGTCACGGATATCAGCTGCACTCAGCGACCCCATCGTCGCTTTATCTCGGCCTTTGGAATGTGTTCAGCGGATCCGCCTCGGTGCCCCCGGCCGGCCCCTCCCTGCTCTGGACCCGGAGCGGGGGCCCCTCGCCAGCCCCTCGGCTAGTGGTTACCCAGTGGTAAGACTGGGTTCTCTCTAAACCACGCCCCTCGTAGAACTGTTCCTCCATTGGCTTAGCCTCCAAGCCCCCGCTCTGTAGCTTAATGCGTACGTGCCGGCCGGCAGGCAGTAATGGAGGGCTGTGGCTCCTCCTCCCGTGAGCTGTGGAGGAAAACACCAGAAACGCCGGCTCTGAGCGAGACTGCCTGCGGCTGAAACGGAGCTTTACCCCTGCAGTTTTACCGACACTGAGTCAGCATCAGGTAAAACCCCGCGGTTTACCGACTGTATTCCACTCTGTATGAGGCGGTGGTTATAAAACAGGAACCGAAAGAGACGGACTTGTGCTGCATTCGTAATTGACGGAGAAATTGTGTATTTTCTTATGAGTTGGTTCCTCGAGGCGCCCTTTAACTGCGTGTCAGTTTCATTTATGTGACAGGTGACGAAGAAAAGCTTCACATGTTGACATTTTAGTTGTTTTTCTTATTCCTAAAGGAGCTGCTGAAAGCAGCAGGAGGCCCTGTTGGTGCTGGTAGAGTGCACGGAGAGCTGGTGTTGTATTTACAGCCTGCAGGAGCGCTGACACCACAAAATCAATCCCTATAATGCAGTCATTTTCATTTCACTGGTGACAGACTGTCAGTGTTCTGACTGCATTAACTGAGCAATCAAGTCAGTACCTGCAGGTTCAGGCATGCAGTTGATTTACAGTAGAAGAAATGAGAGCGTGTGTGTGTGTGTGTGTGTGAGAGAGAGAGAGAAACTTCCTCAGGGGATTTATTTTTTCTGCAGACAAAGAAATAAATTCCAGCACTGCTCTAAAAATAGAGCTCGCTTCCTCAACCATCAGTCGTTATTGATGGTAAATATCAGGAACTAGTCGGTCTCGTTCATAGTTCTTTAGTTCACCTGCCAGGTCATAAATAAAGTCTGGATGTAACAGGTTCTATATCATAATGTCAGTCAGCTAAGCCCACAGGTGTTACACATTATTACACACACAGGTTTTGATCCGGCGTGTTTCCTTCAGCTTTTAATAAGTTGTGTCAGTAAGTTTCCATATGAAGTTCAGACGTGTTGTGAAGGAAAAGTTAACGCTGATGAGAAATGATCAGTACCAGCTGTTAGCCTGTGTTCTGCTGATCAGCTGATTATCACACAGGAAGTGGGTGAGAGTTGAGCTGGGGTCAAAGGTCACACAGTGAGGGTTATCAGCTGCAGACAAGCGTCTGTTTACAGCTGATACTAAGACACTGCTGCACCCTGAGACCCCACCCCCTCTAACAGCTGATTAACAGTTCACTGTGGAGGGTTTCTGCACATGCTCAGGAATGCATGTACTTTGTACTAATAATGCCAAACAGAGTATTCCTGTAAAGTACTTCATAGGGCTATTTAAAGTACTTTAGTACCTTTTTTGCGCCATGGACCGATTTATATCTGACAATATTTTCACGGACTAGCCTTTAAGGTGTCGTGGATACATACAACAAAATAAAGCCAGTACCGCTACCGAAAAAAGATCATAACACACGGGAAAAGACCCAGGGGCACCGAGTTAACGATAAAAACCAAACGACTCACGGACCAGCCCAGGGGTTGGAGACCACTGCTTTAGTGTCTTTCATTACTTCCGTGTGTGTGTGTGTGTGTGTGTGCGCGCGCTAGTGATGGGTTAATCTAATTGGTTTGTGGCGAGCCGCGACCCTCTGACCAATCACGGAACACAATGCTGCAGCGTCCACAAACAGCTGATTGAACAGGAGGAGCTTCTATGGAAAGCTTTACTGTTGTTGTGTGAGTGACTCAGAGGAGCCGCAGAGCTCGCTGTGTGACCGCGGCGGCTATTATTACCCCCTGAGGTCACGGGCGAGGAAGATGATGGTGTAGAAATAAAGCGAGGTCCTAAAGCGTGTAATCCTGAGAAGGGCTGGGCCATATCATACCATTCACGGTAATACCGGTGTAATGTTGGGCAACGACAAGAAAATGAAATTTGGGTAAAACGCACATGGCGGAAAAAGCATGGCGGCGACAGAGAATGAGAAGAGCGAGAGCAGATCGTTGAATGAAACCATGAACCAGAACTGGTTTGTAAAAATGCTGCAGCTTCACTGGTGTGGAACTGGTTTAGCTTTACTCCGTCAGATACACAACAAAGCACTATTTTTGGTAGCGCATGCTAGCGGGCCGTCGTTATTACCGTGTTGTTTGGAAAATACGGCGCACTTAAAATCATCCTTTGATTTTCTGAAAGTCGACAGAGCCCCTTATAATCCCGTGTGCCTTATGTATGAACTCTGGTTGTGTTTACTGACCTCGAAACGAGTTTATGTGCACGGCGCTCAAAAATCTGTCAGATGTTTCAGTACGACTTTGCTGAGCTACGAACTGTTAAATGTTTATATAACTTTAATGCACATAAAAAACAGCTGCTTGTTTAAGTGGAAATACATTGATGTTTGTTTTGCACTAATAAAGTTGAGGAGTTGTAAAGTATTTTGTCTCGTGTCGATTATATCCTCAGTTATATCGTTATTGCAAATTTTCAAATGTATGTCGTGATAAATATTTTTGGTCATATCGCCCTGCTCTAATCCTGAGCACACTTTAAAGTCAGTCGTCAATTTCAGTGAAATCACCGTGCTGTCTCCACTTCCTGTTTTCTGTCCAGGATGTCGCTGGAGGTGCTGGCGGCGAGTGGCCTGAAGCAGTGCCAACAGGCCCAGGATCAGCTGGAGGATGCCATCGGTGCCGTGATGAAGGCGGAGCAGCAGCTGAGGGAGAATGCCAGAGAGGTGAGTGCCTCCTCTCTCTGAACAGGAAGTGCTTTAAGGCGTGATAACCCCAGTGTCACATGACCAGCGCAGTCAAGCCAAGGTATTTATTTTAAAGCAAGAACAGGAAGAGGCCCTTTCAGCAGATCAGATGGTAACGGCAGAAATGTGTTCGACATGCCACGACACAGGAAATGCGTTGGCAGACTGAACCAAACGATTCCTGTTCAGTCGATCAATAAAGTTTGTGCCCAGCAAGTTGTGGATTAGAACAATTGATCAGTGATCAATAACTGAACTGCTGATAAGCTCACGTGAGTTTGTAAAATGTTTTCCTGCTGCGCTGCAGATGGGAGGAAGTGCAGGTCAGCTGATTCACAGGAAGCTCCTTGCTGAAACCTGGATCAGCTCACACGTTTTCTACCTGCTGTCCTGATCAGTGCGTTAGTTACCTGCCACCAAACGGAGCTGCTTGAAACTTTATTGACACCCAGATCATTTTACAGTGAAACACTTGTCCTGCTAAACTGCTGCGACCACTCAGCTGGCTCTGTGCCACGCCCCCTGTTTTTCATATCAAACCGTGAATCACTTGAGCTTTAAACACCTGAGGATTTACCTGTTGAGACCAACCAATCGCAGTTAGCCATCATCTTCTTCATCACTGCTGACTCGGCAAGGCTGAAACCACCTGAAATCCTGCCTTTGTCTGCAGCTGAGCCACAGGTGAGGGAGAGGAAGAGGAGGGTCAGGGCGAGGCGGGTTATAAAGCCTGCAGAGGAGGTGAGAGGAGCTCAGAGGAGGTGAGAGCAGTGAAGTGCGACGTGCTGGACTTCATACTTTATCTCCAGGTAAAACTTCAGGCTCCGGCTCAGGTGTGCGTCCATGCTCGTTGGTTAGGGACTCACAGCTTCATTATCGGGGTTGGATTGATCTCAGCTCCGTGATGTTTTGTTTTTTTCTGTGAGATAAACTTTATTTAAACTGAGCAGAAACAACAGGACAGGCTGTTTTACTTTAACCTGTCAGCTGATCCACCTCCACAGGAAGGGGGAGCTCGCGTGTCCGTGTGAAAAAACTTTACTAACAAAAAGCTTTGTTTATGCTCTGTGATCACATGACTGTCCGCAGCGCTGCGAGGCTTCACGTTAGGACTGGGCAATATATCGAGTTTTTAAATGTATCGATATATTTTTACACGAGATATGACAATATCGTTTATATCGATATAGTCTATGTTACGATATGACTATACTTGTGGAGCCGCAAGTTTGCCTCTTTCGTCCACTTTTGTCTCTACTCGGCCTCGCCTCTCCTTCACTGAACACAACTCCCCCATCGCTTCACCTGCAGGCAACGGCAGGACGGACATGGCAGCTGCTCGGTAAAAAGAAAACATTTGGAGATTATTTTAGTGCTGTCAGCGTGACGTTAACGCCATAACTACATTAACGGAGCAAATCTGTTACCGCGGATCGCCCTGTGCGTGGAGGCTGGACGGCGTTAACGAGCTAACCAGGCTAATGCGTTGACGCCTAAAATCCTTTAATTTTCTCAAAAATCAACAGTGCGCCTTATGTATGAATTCTGGTTGTGCTTACTGACCGCAAACCGATTTTCTGTGCTACACGGCGCTCAGCAATCTGTCAAAAATGTTTTAGTCCGACTTTGCTAAGCTACGGAGCCGCACTGCCTGATGGATTGTTGGAGCATTACGGCTGCGAGGAGCCTCGCGGAGCGATACGTACTCTGCTTGAGCGTAATGTTACCGTACTATGTGTGTGTATAAGGACCAAAGACGGCACCTGTTAAGAGACGTGGTTACGAAGCGGATTTCAAACTCCAGCCTGTCAGTCACGCAGTAGCTGTGAAATTTCTTTTGTTTTTCTCTGGAAGAATCTGTTTGGTTACTGAACATTTCACGTTTAGGTGTTGCTTAACACGTCTCACCTGTGCGTCCCCTCAGGTGCGCTCGGAGTTGCAGAGCTGCGTGAGCCGCCAGCAGGAGGCGCTGCGCTGTAGGGAGGTGTGGCTGCTGGGTCAGATTGAGCTGCTCGAACAAGTGAAGACGGAAACTCTGCAACAGCAGCTGCACCAGCTGCACCGGGTAACTGGGGGCGGGGCCTGTTTACCTGTGTTGACTGTTTGTTTACCTGTCTGCTTACCTGTGCTGTGTCTGTGCTGCAGCTCCGAGGTCAGTTTGACGTGATCGCCTACCAGCTGCAGAGCTCCAGCAGCAACGACCTGAACAACCAGCTGACCAGCTGCATGGAGAAGTACGTGCGCACAAACACATGCACACACACAGATTTGTGGGCGCGTTCACACCTGAGCGGTCTGTTCTCCTTGCTGGTGCTCTCACCTGTTGGCGTAGCTGTCCCAGTCTGCACACCCTCAGTTAAGGCATGCAGTCAGGATTTCACTGTCTAATGTAATCAGATTACTGACATACTGAGCTGGTTTTACCTGTAGACTCTCACCTGTAGGCATGTGTGTCAGGTGCGGTGCAGTCATGTGATCTTGTTGTCTTCTCCTGTGTGTGCAGGTTGTCCTCTCTGAGTCTCACTCCAGAGGAAACACCTGAGTTGAGTTTCCATGCCGACTCTCGCTCTCTGAAGCAGGCCATCACCTCATTTGGCAGCATCAACGCCCAGGTAACACACACACACACACACACACACACACACACACACACACACACACACACA